GTTTACACACACACACACACACACACACACACACACACACACATTTAAAGAAAATACTAATATTCCCAAAGAAGAGGGCATTCTGCTGATAACTAGCCTGCACTTGACCTAAATACTCAGGACTCCTCTGGGCCCCCATTATACTGACTTTCCATTAAGACCTTGGATTTGCTTAAGGCCATAATTGTATGAGTCAGTTCCTTAAAATTAACCCAGCAACAATAGCAAATCAAAAGTCTCATATATATATATATGGTGTGTGTGTGTTGGCCTGGTACCTTTGTCTTAGCATCTGGATCTGGCCAACCCCCCTCAAATACTCATCGATACTTTTTTCCTTAAACTGTCCTTCACCCCCAAGGGCACAGTGAGCTCACACAGCCTGATGTACCAACCCCAGTACTCCCCACTACCGCTGACCTTGGCCTTGAAGGATGCATAGAATCTTATGTGGTCTTGAGGAGGATGGACTAGAGTGATCAAGAACAAAGATCCAGAGACGCATCAAGCACAGCAGCCCAGAAAGCCAGAGCTCAATGTGGCCAGAGCAAAGGATGTGACTCATGAGACAGGGCTGGAGAAGTGGTCAGGGACAGGTGGTATAGGGCTTTGAGAGCCAGGTAGGAGTTTGAACTTTGTCTGTAGGACAGGAGGGAGACAGAAGAATTTCAAGCCATGCAGACATGATAGGGTTCTGGTTTTGTCTGGCTCACTGTGCAGTATAGAAGATACAGGGAAAATTGAAGCAGGGAGGGGTGACTTCAGGCTGGAGTTTTCCCTGGTGCTCCTGAAATCAGATTCTGTATTCCATTTCTTTCTCATTTGCTGGACAGGATGCTTAATCAGGTGGACTCCTGGAGCCACAGTGTCTGAGTCTACATCTTAGCTTGTCATTTACTAAGTAGGCTCAGGTATGATACTGAGTACCCAGTTTTTGTTTCCCCACTGAAGATAACAGCATTGCCTTCCTCCTATGCTTCTGTGCAAAGACTGAAGGAGTCATTCCACGATTGGCTCAGCACAGTGCACCATGAATGAACACCTCCATGTACATGTTACAACTTCTCCTGGCATTAATGTCCCATGAGACACACCTGTGTTAGTTTTCCATTGCTGCAACAAAATACCCAAAGCAATCAAATTAAAAGATGGAAAGGTTTATTTGGGCTCACAGTTTGGGAGGCTTCAGTCCATGTTCAGGCAGACCTATTGCTTTCTACCCTGTGGTGAGGCAGGATATCCTGGTGGGGAGGAAAGACTGGTGTCCCATAATCCTCTTTAGGGGCATGCTTTTGTATTAGTAACTTTTCTCATTGCTCTGACAAAACACTTGACAAAAGCAACGTGATGTAAGAAGGGTTTGTTTTGGCTCGTGGTTTAAGAAGGGCTACAGTCCACCATGATCGGACGGGCATGGTGGCAGGAGCTTGCACCTGCAGTCAGGACATATTGAGCAGGTAGCAAGCAGACATGGACCAGATTGGGCCATGAAGCCTCAAAGCTCACCCCCAGCACCTCGCTTGCTCTAGAGAAGCTACCCTTCCAAAACAGCACCACCAGCTGGAGACCAAGTATTCAGACACGTGAGCCTGTGGGAGACATTTCACATTTGAACCGGAAAAAAGCAGCAGAGACCTAAAACACCCTTGTAGGCGCCACCTCTTAAAATTCCCCTACTTCCCAATAGTGCCACTGCAAGTTGGAAATACCGAGGGCAGAATGTGCTTGTGACCCTTCAGGTCCAGCTCAGCTCCCAGCAGAGTGGGGCTCTTTTCCACCCACCCCAACCCCCGTATCATGGCTGCCTCTGCCATATGCCTCTGTCCAGCGAAGAGATGAAATTAAAAGACTGAAGTCCTGTTGAATGTGTATTGCTTTTGCGGTGTAGTAAACTTGGACGGTTGTAAATGGATCCTCTGTAAGATGGGGATCATCTGGTTTTGTCTGGCTCACTGTGCTAAGCCAGTGGGCTCCTGGGATGCAAACCCCCAGCCCCAGCAGGTCTGTGGCTGTCCACTGCTCCCTGTGCTAGGCAGCCCACCTACCTTCTCTCAGGCTTTACATCTGCTATTTTATTCTCACAGAAGCAGGGCCAGACCAGGGTCCTGGGGTCAGGGAAATGTCACACAGAGAGGGAAACAGAGCTCTGAGATCTGGAAAGAGATTCTTATACAACCCTGAGAGTTTGAGAATTGGACTGGACCTGGGTGGACAATGCTTCCCAGCTGCACAGGCCCAAAGGGAGCATCTTGGGGGCAGAGGCTGTGGCCTCAGTTCTTGATCGATGGCCAGAGATAGAGGTACAAAGCTCAAAGCCTGCTCAGTAAGCCCTGGGGACCAGCTGTGGGAAGCAACGTCAGTGAGAGGGATGGGATACCAAGCTTTCAGAGTCAAGGGTGTTGGTGAATCCCCAGCCTTTCATGTTTGTGTTTCCACAGGGTGGTACAGGAGAGATGGCAGATTTTCCCACATTCTAGGACTGACAAGTCATTTCTCCTTGGCCTCTACTGAGGGTGGAGGTAGATTCTGGGGTGCCAAAAAAAGGTCACCTTGTGGGCCAGAATTGGTAATTCAGAAACTCCTGTTGGTCAGTAAGTGTGCAGGGACAAAGGGTGGTTCTCACATGTGTGAAATCTCGTGTCACTGTAAAGGACTTCAGTCAAGTCCTCCTGTGGACACTGGTCTTAGATGCCCCTCTATGATGTCCTGAGCTGGTCAGGACCTGCTCTAGGCCTTATACAAACTCTCTGGATCTTTCCAATTCATACCTCATTAACGCCAATTAATCTGCAATGTATTTTGGACTCAATATGGGATAGCTCTCTCTAGGGAGACAATTTCTTTGATGGCAGCGAAGAGGCCCACTGTAGCCCACACATCCTGCTGGCCCTATGTGACCTTATGGATCAGGACTTTGTCATCCACAGCAACTATGATGGTTGGTTAATATTGTCAGCTCAATGGGATCTAGAATCACCTAAGACAAATCTCTGGCCCCATCCTCAGAGGTTTAACTGAGATGGAGAGTCACACTGGAATGTGGGTGGTGTCGTTCCATGGGATCCCAGACTGAATGAGAAAGAGAAAGCAAGACGAGCACCAGCATTCTCTCTCTCTCTCTCTCTCTTTCTCTCTCTCTCTCTCTGCTTCCTGACAGCAGATGCAATGTGAGCAGCTGCTTCAAACTCCTGCCACAGGACCCTCCCTGCCATGACCGACTGACTGTACCCTCAAACTGTGAGCCAGGATAAACCCTTCCTTCCTTCCTTCCTTCCTTCCTTCCTTCCTTCCTTCCTTCCTTCCTTCCTTCCTTCCTTCCTTCCTTAATTCGCTTTTATTAGGGACTTTGACACAGCAATAATGAAAGTAACTAAGACATTTCCCTGTTCTCAGTCCCTCTTCCTGCCATGCTCAGTGGCACAGGTCCCTCCCCTGCCCTTCTCTAGACCCAGAGCTTCAAAGCCCTCTTTCCTGCCTCATTTACCGAGTCCTCACAAGTACTAATGAACTCACTCGTTCACCCTGAGGTACCAGTAACTAAGAATAACTAGAGAAGACGTCAAACAATAAGATCCCAGGCACCTCGAGCAAGCCTTAGTGTTGGTATTTATAGGTCACAAGAGGTGGTCACCATCACAGAACACAGCTGTTCTCAATCGTGGGGAGACTTGTTCTGTTGACAGTCCTGAATGAGGGATTCCAATGTATAGCTCAGGGTGAGGCAAGAGCCCAGCCAAGGCCTGGCATGGAATTGGTGTCTGCATCATGGCTTACTTTCCTCAGTTGGATTGGAACTGCTTCCAAGAGCCAAGTTAGACAAGAAAACGTGGGGACTCTTGCAAACAGTTGCTACCCCCTGAGAACTGTCATAAGGAGGCCACTGTAGCTTGGTTTCTGATGAGGATGTTGGAAAGTCTGGCACTGCCAGTCACGGCTAACTGGGCCTGGGGTTGGTGTCTGACGGTGGGGACCTAAAGGCCCCACCTTGCATAGGTCCGAAAGGAAGTTCCTGGGGGCGCGGCCTGGCTTGCTTTGAAAGTCTAAAGAATACTTCCGCACTGCAGAAGTGCATGATCAGCGCGTGACCATCCTTAAGATACACCCTCGGTGGGGAGGGGGGATTTCCAGGTGCCTTTATAAGCTCTGTAACACCTGCAATAAATGAGTCCCTACTTGACTAGGCTCCCCCTGACTAGACTCCCCGTTGCATCTGAGTGTCCCCGGGTAATGGGGGCGGCGTGGGCTGGCGAACGGCGTGTTTACTCATCCCCAATCCTCACCTCGCCGGGGGTCGTGGGTTCGAACCCCCGGCACCTGACCACTTGGATGGGTGGGTGGGCCCGACTACACAGGGCCAGTGGTGGCAATGCTACTGTAGAAAGGCCAGTGACAGGAAGCTGATAAGGATGGCAGTGTTCACGCAGAGCGCTGAGGAGGCTGGCAGGAGAGACAGGAGTCAGCTGAGAAGCTGAGGCCACATGAGGAAGCCGGGAAGGGGGGCAGTGGGCAAGACACCTTGTCCGAACCATCTTCCCTTTCAAATTCTCAGCAATGCCGTGTCTCATCTTGACTTTGCTTGGGATGCTATTCTGATCACTCTGTTCGTGCCTGGCACTGGAGCCCCTGGTCCCTGTACCTAAGAGGCCCTGCTCTGCCCCTGCTGCCATGCTCCTGCCTCCTCCCTGAGGTTCTGTTGGTTTCACTCTGTGGAGAGTGGACTGTACACCTCTGTCCCTCTCACCCTCCCTGGCTGAGAGCAGCTGGCCCACCCTACTGCCGAGGTGGCCCTTTGAGAGGAACAGGGAAAAGCCTCTGTTGCACACCTTCATTTCCTGCCTCTCTGCTAGGGACACTCTGAAGACCAGTCCAGGGGTTCCTGTTACTTCATCCTTGGCTCCAAACCAGCCCCAACTACAGGTTACCTCCCCACAGCAAATCCAGATCACAGCCCTGGGGCCAACACTTTACAGTTTTTTTGACAGCCTTGAACCTGCTGCCTGTATACCTCCAATGTCTTTTATTAATGAGCTCAGAGTAAGATGTGTATCAGCAGTTACAGCAGGAGAGAGGGTGGTGGAGTGACACGGCAGCCGGTAGCTTGCAGCTCAAGAAAAGAGCTCCTTAGAGCTGGGGACACAGTAGAGCCAGAGGAAATGCGGAATCTCAGAAGCCACCTCCAGAACAGTAGCTGCCTGTCACCCCTCATGGTGGCCTTCAGAGGATGGGCCTGGCCGCTTCTCCTGCTGCCCCCCAGGGGTTCGCATTCCTAGGTATGAGGTGCAATTTCCAGGGAAGCTTTGTATGCCTGAGGCTTGAGTTCAAGGGCTGGGTCCAGAACTTGCTGTCCTCCTTGGTAGAATCTGGCTTCTCTCTCTGGACTTTAGAAGAAGGTCCTGTGGGGCAGAGGAAGCAGAACAGGTGGGCAGGCCTTGTGAATGACCTCTGTCCAGGGCTGGCCCCATCCTAGCAGCACATGATCCTGACAACCGTCAGAAGCCCTTCTCAGTGTGGCCCTGAGTGGTGACACACACCAGCTACAGCACGCAAGAGGCCAGGGAGGAAGCAGACGGGGTGCTGGAATGAGGGAGGAGGCAGCCAGCAGGAAGGGTAGTGGGAGTCCCTTGTCAAGAATAAGTGACAGACGATAGGGCCACTGAGACCATAGCAGAAGCCACAGTAGGGCAGGCCCGCTGTCTTGGAGCATGAGGCCCTAATGTTTTAGGAAACTTGCAACAGAACAGCCAACAAACCCCTATTTGGGCTTCAGGTCACAACCAAACCGTGTCATGGCCAGCTGGCACAGAACACAGAATGAGAAACACATGCCAAAGCTGGGCTCCATGGGGTGTCTTGCAGAGAGCCTGGATCAAGGAGGGAGGAAGAGAGAAGGTAGTGTGGGCTGAGCAGGGCTCAAAACACAGCAGGGCACACCATGACCTGAGCCACTGGAATCCACCAACCCTGGTTCTTTGGACCAGCTTAAAGACCTTGCCCAGCATAGCTCTGCCAAAGTAGGCTTCTCACTAAGGCACCATCTGTGCCTGGTGCCACCTTGCTTCTCTGGGTGCTGAGTGCAACCTAAAACCCGTTCCAAGGGCTGTGGGCATCAGGACCCTCAGGTTGTAGGCCAGCGTCCCAATTGAGCTCTGTGCATTCCCTGGAGCTCCAGTGTTCCAGCCACTGAGAGCAGCCCCACGGGAGACATTTAGTAAGCTGACCCTGTCTCTCTTCAGACACCAGTCCAAAGAACCTGCTGGGAGGGAACATGGGCACATGGCACACAGCATGGGCAGACGGAGCCCTGTGGGCGCCTGCCTAGTCACCGTGGGCTCCAGCTGCAGGGGGAACCCATGTCTATACACGGGCTCACAGACTTCAAGCTGCTTTCGAACCAGCTGAGGACTTTGGGCTGCAGAGGATGGAAGAGAAGAGCTACACATGCAGAGTGGAACAGGAGACAAGAGGGCTTGGTTATTCCTGGGTGAAGCTCCACGGGACCACTCCCTGCACTGGGCTCCTGCCTCTCAGGTCCTGCCTAGTCCCTGGGTTCCAGACCAGGTGCTGCCAAAGCCTAGATTCTCCAAGAATGCAGAATGCAGGCTATGCCAGACAAGGGGGTATAAGCCAGCCGGGCATGGCCAACAAGTGTGACTGGTAGATGGGGAGTTGAGTACTAGACAGGTGACTCGAGGATAACAGAGGTGAGAGGCCACAGACAGACAGTGACAGAGGTAACAACGCACAATGAATGACAGGGAGAGACAGGGCTCGGAGCCAGAGATGGAAATAGGCAACAAGCAAAGAGGAGTGGAGAGAGGACAGGGACGAAGGGGGAAAGAGGGACAGGTGGGGGGACAGACTGACAGGAAGTATGGAGGAAGAGGGAGAGAGACACAGAGAAGGGCAGAAACCAGCCCAGTTACAGACATGGAGAATTACAGGGAAAGACAGACTGAGGTGAGGCTCCTTGGAGTGCCCACAGTGTGCAGAAAGAACCTGTGTTCTTAGCTGCTTAGACACAAGCATGAACGAACGCAGTCAGAACAAAGGCCTTCCAGAAGGAGCATCTGTTACTGGTGCAGGGACAAGGTTCTAAGTGCTGAATCACAAATCCTGAATGTATCACAATGTCCTTGGTCTGAGACCTTGAGCTTCAGTGTCCTATATGTAAAGACTCTGGCTAAGACATCCCTGGAGGCAGCTCACACTGCTAAGGCCAGTGACTTCTAGACCCTGTGACTACCAGCAGTTGCATGCCTGGGCCATCCCTTCTGCCTGGCAAATCTAGAGGAAGGTGGCCAGGATCCTGGGGGACAGGGGGACAGGGGCATGGTGCCTGCACACACTTACAGATCATCGTCGTATTCCTTGGGGGGACAAACAGCAACCACAAGATCGATCCAGTCCTGTGGAGAAAAGCCGTGTGACCATGGGGCACATGGAAGAGAGGGTGACTTATCTGCTAGGTATTCCATCCCACTCCTGGCTCTGTGGTCCAGAGCCAGCCAGGGCACAGGGAGGGCTGGAGTCTAAAAGACAGCCCCACACTCTCGAAGCTTCCCTGCTACAGAAGGGCAGCAAGACCCTCAGATGGCACCAGGTTCCCATATTTAGACCTGTGGACCAGAGCCGGGTAGTCACTCCAGAATCATGTGTGGGCTTGTGGAGACATGGTCCCCAGAAGTCTGTCATACATCTTGGGAAAGGGTAATGCCGACAAACTCCCCAGGGAACTCTGAGGTATAGCAACCTTGGGAGTTTCTGGTCCCACTTTCTGATCCTGACACTTGGTCCTCTCAGTTGACATCTCTGGTTTGCCTATCACTGTCTACTGTTATGCCTGGCCTTGGGCATAACACTGACAAATCCTGAAAGAACACTGGGCCCCAGTACCATGCCAGAACTCCTAAGGTTGAGCTGAACTCTCTCCCCACACCACCTCCCTCTATCCATTCCAGAACACATCTGCTCCCTCTGTCCTAACGCAGCCCTTTAGATCATCAAAGACAGTCATCATGTTACCCGCTGGTCTTCTCTTCTCCACATCCTTTCATGTGGGTCCCAGGCCCATCTGGTCAGCTTCCTCGGCACTGAACTTAATACCTCAGGCTCAGCTGCCTGCACACAGTGGCACAGGTTGTGCAATGCACAACATGACTGGGCACCATGCACACTATCATCTGTAGGAGGGTACCCCCTCAGATTGTGCAGCGCACAGCCTGTGGGAGCCCCTATGTGGTAGCCCTGTTCTAGGTGGGTAGTTACCATTAGCCCCTCTCTCATCCGCCCTCTAGCCTGCTCATTCTCCAGTAGCCCCCAACACCGTCTTGATTCCTATTTAGTACTGACTTAGAGAAAGACCTTGGAATTTTTATTGGCCGAACTGCTATGCCCCATCTTCTGGACTCTGCACCAGTGGCTGTTGGGACTCAAGATCAGGAAGTGGTCATTCTCTGAGTCATAGCCTGTCAGATCCAGTCCACTAGCTAGGATATGTCAATCATCAAGAAATGTCTGAACCTTGGACACCAACTGTGGACTGTGCCACCACCATGATGGTAAGGCCAGGCTGCAGAGGCCAGTGTCTGAGGGAGGGGCAGGGCTAGGGGAAGGGGCTCCTTCTCACCCCGCCCTGATTCCAGGCCCTCTGCAGCGCTGCCTCAGCCTCTGCCAGGGTGTAGTCCGTCACAATCTTGCTGTTGATGGCCATGATCTCATCCCCTTTCACAACGCCACCTGCAGGAAGAAGGGGATTGGCCACCTGGGTTCTGTGTGATGCATGTCTGACTCCAAGCTTCGTGTGGGACATTGCAAAAGAAGCCCTACCCTGGGCTCTGAAAACCATGCCAGCCTGAAGGCACCACTGCAAACAGCTCCTGTTCTTGCCCTCCCAGCACCCTGCTCTTTTTGGACATGGCATTTTTCACAGTGGTTAACCATAACCATTCACTTGCTTGCTGATGGTGTCTCCCACCATCCTCTCAGCTCCACGAGTCTCTCCTCAGCACTCATAACATCTGATACAAAATAGGGACCCAACAGAAGAGCAATCAGAAAAATGAACTGTGTTCAAACATGTTCCCAGATAAGCTGCCCTTAGATCTAGCAACTTTAGGAAGAAGCGAATTGTAAGCTAAGTTACTCAATGTAAGACTTTTCAGAGCCTTGGATATGCTAAGTGGCTCTTTAAATAGATTATGATGGTCTCCACATTTCTTTGTCATCATAACAGAACCCTCTGGGTTACATAGAAACTGATCATCCAGAAGCCCGGTGGGTATGAAGTCCACAGGAATGTGGTGTGTGTCACAAAAAGTGGCAGCCATAGTAGGTTTGAACACATTTTCCTGGGGACTTCTACCAGCTGTCTGGATAGCCAAACCAGCACAGGACCAAACTTCAGAGAGCAATTGTCCCTGTACTGAGGGACTGAGGATAAGTGACTTCAAAGTTTTCATTTTGTGCAAACCCAAGATGACACCTCCAAGCAGTAAAGCAGTGAGAGGGTCCAGGAAGAAGCTGGGTACTCTCCTGCCCTCTCTTTACCAGATATGGCAGATGGGTGGCCTCCCTGGGCCAAGTGGTAAGCCTCCCTTCAGGCACAGAAATGAGGACAGAAGAGAGTACCCAGTGACAGCAGGATATAGCAGCTGCCTGGCTAGGCAGGTACCACCGAGTGTGGAGATGAAGGCTCAGGATGGGGCTCAGAGGATCCGGAGCCCAAGGTCATGGACTACAAAGCTGGATAGCACCCAAGGCTGCCAGGGCACAGAGCCTGCCTCGGTAACTGCAGAAGCCCAGCTGCCAGCCACCAGTGGCCTTTTCCTCCATACTTCTCTCAGGCTCTCGTCGTCCGAACTTTCCATCCTACTCCCTGTAGTTGTGGGAGAGCCTGGCTCCAACCTGAAGGGATCTAGTCCTAGGTTTCCTGCTCTAGGTTCAGAAAGAAGGGGCCCCTGGGCTCCCCAAAGTGCTCAGGAATGTGGACGTGCCTTCCAATGTGGCAGCCACATCAGCAACACTGGAGTTTACAGTGTGTTGATAGTGTGAAGCAAGAGACAGCTGGGTCCAGAGGCTCAAGTGGTCACAGAGCATTGGTTGGTTGGTTGGTTGGTTGGTTTGGGGGGATTTTTTGTTTTTTTGTTTTTTTTTTTTTGTCTTTTTGAGACAGGGTCTCCCCGAGGCCCCAGCTGTCCTGGAACTCACTATGTAGACCAGGCTGGCCTTGAACTCACAGAGATCCCCCTGCCTCTGCCTCCGAGTGCTGGGATTAAAGGCATGCACCACCACGCCCAGCAGTTGGTTGTTTTTGAGACAGGATTTCATGTAACCCAAGCTGGCCTCAGACCCAGTATGTAGTCTTGATCTTGTGATGATCCTGCCTCCAACTCCTGAGTGCTGAGATTACCACCACTGCCGGTTAGGCAGTCCGGGGATGCAACTCAGCATCCATGCATATTGGCAGTCACTCTATCAGCGCAGCCACATCTCCAGCCCCAGCAGAGGGTGTTTTTGTTCAAAGAGGACAAAGGCCACAGATCCAGTGTATATTGGAGAGACGGGGGCTCTGGCCCTGTGGGACGGGCCAGGCTGGGGAAGAGCTAGGTGGAGGTGGTGTTTATGCTGGATACTAAACCAAATGCCCAGTCTTCCTGGATTCAAGTCCTGCCTACATCTTTTACTGGCTGGGGATTCTTGAAGAAGTATCTTGACCTTACCACGTCTGTTTTCTAAGCTGTGAAAAGAATCAATATGGCCTCTGCCTGGGGGTTGTTGGGAGGATTAGATGAGGGAATATCCATGAAACTCTTAGGTCTGGGGCTGTAGCCAGGCTCTCAGACTGGTGCCCAGCACGTGACTGGTTCCACAAACCACCTGCCGGGATGCTTCTCCTTTGCTCTCTGAGTGCTCATTCCTCTTCAGAAGGCCCAGCTTAGGGGCTGCCATTCCGGGGAGGCCTCCCACTATCCCCTTCCTCAGGCAGCAGGGGTCCCCTTGGGTTCTCATGGCTTCTCTCTATCATTCCCCACCAGACCCTAAGCCCTATCAAGATCTGTGATTCTGAGCCCATTTCTGCCGCTAGCCTGGGAGCCCCTGGAGAGCAGGGTGACATCTGGTCATGCCACTCCCAGGTCCTGGCACCATGGCGCAGCCTCAGGCGATATTTGAGATTGGTTAGATGCTCAGTGGATGGACCTGATATTCTTGAACAACTGTAAGCCCATCTGAAGCCGGCAGCTGCCTGCTTTGCTGAGGCACTTGCACTATTCCCAAACCAGACACAGCCAGTCCACACTCACCGTGTCGCTCAGCAGCTCCCCCCTCATAAACAGCAGAGACGACCACCTTCCCCACGGGCGAGTCCACTCCACCCTCCAAGGCCAGGTCTAAAGACCCCTCCTGGGTGAAGGAAAGCAGGTTCTAGGGGGCCACACAGACAGCAGCCTGTGGAGCTCCAAGGAACCTCTCATAGGGCCACAGAGTGCAGGAGGCGTGGGGCCATGCAGTGCTGAGGGGAGCAGATGCAGGGCCATGGAGGGGCCTGGGGAGAAAGAAGCCCCGGGCTAGGGTATGCATCCCCAGGACTGGCAGCCTCAGGGGAGTGGGGAGAGGAGCAAGACCCCAAGCAGTTACCTAGTAGGACAAGCAGGGAATCAGGGTGGCAGGGGCAGAGAGGGTTGGTGACCGGCCTCTACCCCATAACCAGATACCTTCTTGATGCGCAGGAGCCGGACATCCTTCCCTGCAATCTGCTCTGGAGAGAACTAGAAGCAGGAGACAGGGGTGCAGCTGAGTGTCCCTGGCCCCATGGGGACAACACACACACACACACACACACACACACACACACACACACACAAGAAGAGAGGGGGGCAGATGAGAGAGCCACACCCCATAGGGACAACACACACACACACACACACACACACACACACACACACACACGTGGCCATTAGGCCCAGTCCCATTGTTCTAGGATTATTGGAATGACTAAGACCAAGCCTTGTGAGCACAGAGCCCATGTCTGGCACACAGCTAGCACTCAGCAATTGGAACTGCTGCTATAACCCCACCCACATGTACATACATATGTGTACACATGGACACACATACATATACAAGTACACACACCTACACATATGCAGACACACAAAACACATGCACACATGCATGTGGCACCTGTACACGTATGTGTAAAACATGCACACAGCACACACACCAAAAAGGTCTCATTGGAAGGGTATTTGAATGGAGCCTTTATAGGGAAGAACGGCTGGGGCATACTTGGGATGCCTCATGTGCCCGGAAACCTCAGGGCCCCCAGAATGCACCTCCAGTTCTGCCCCTTTCCTGGGACTACTCCCCCAGGCCTGGAGAGTTTGCGCTTACCATAGAGTAGGGGTCAAAGCCTTCCTCGTATTTCCGGAAGTCCTGGAAGCAGAGGGCAGGCTTTAGGGTAGAGAGCAGAGGCCTTGGAGGCACACTACAAACACAAGCTCAGGCAGTTGAGGAAGCAGGGTCAGAATCCAAGGGCCAGAGGTGAGCAGGGGGTAAAAGGCAGGTGCGGCCAGGATGGGGGTGCAGGGAGGAAGTTGGAAGTCCCAACAGATGGAGAACCCTGCTGAGGAGCGAGCAGGAAGCTGCAGAAAGTGTTTGGAGGAGCATGGCCCTGCCCAGTGAGTGGGCATTCGTAGCTACAGAGGTACCACTGGGATCCAGATGCCTAGGCAGGTGGTCCTCTCCTTATAGAAAGTCCTGCAGGTCTTTTAGGCCCAAACTTGTCTCTTCCAAGTCTACACTAGGGGCAGTCAGACCATGGGGATGAAGCCATGCTTCTCTACCCAGAGCTCTGACTTCATAAGGTGCCCCAGGCTTGCCCAGTGGGCTACTTGGCTTAGAAAAACCATCATCCATCAGGTGACTAAGGAAGGCAAAATAGCACCCCACACCAAGGGGAGAAGGGAGGCAGTGGTCAGACTGGGCCTGACTGTTCTTTGCTGATCTAGGAGGTAAGAGGCCTCCCTGTGGGAGATGGAAGGGTGCAGAAGTCTAGGGCCCTGGCATGGTGGGGTTGCTGTGGTGGCAATGGTCATGACTTAGAAGCAAGGCAGTGAGAAGGGGGCAGAGCCAGAGCACATGGCCCAGGAGTCACACACAGTATGTGGAACCAGGACAACCACAGGCCTCAGAGGCCCGGATGCTACTCCTGAGTTACGACAGCAAAGCTGCAGCCAGTGCCCACTGGAAAGGCAGTCACACAGTTCCCTAGGGCACACCAAGTGTCTCCTGGATCCTATATTCAGCATTGTGGGGAGGCCATAGACCACACTCCTGTCCAGCGTGCAGCCATCAAACTCTGAGCACAAAACAAAGGCCCAACCTCAGCAGATGGGTCCCCTGGAGATCTACATGCCATTCCTCACCACTGGCCTTTATCTCCCAAGCTCAACCCCAAAAAGGCCTTGTCCATGACCCAGGTCAGGGACCACATCCAGGTCAGTCTGTACATGAAAGGCAAAACACAGGGCAAGGGACACAGCAAATCCATGAGCCAGAGGTCACTAGGCAGAATCTAGGACTCATGCTCTGACACAAAGAGGGCTCTTCTCTCTGGCTGGGCCATGCTAGCCTCTTTGCAGGACCCCAAGAAGGCAGGTCTTGTGTGAATTCTGAGACTCACAGACCATTACAGCGGGCTGGCCTTAAAAAAAAGAGGACCCCTCCCTCTTCATCCAGCGGATGGAGAAACAAAATCCAGAGAGGTGACGTTGATGCCTAAGGTCCCCAGTCAGCAGGCAGGGGCTGCAAACCTGGAGCCTCACACCCCTCAGTTGATGTCTCTCTCCTTTTGAGGGTTGTTTGCGTCCCCAGCCTTGGGCCCTTCAATGCCTACTTGGCAAAGGCAGTGCTTTGAGAGACAGGTGACATAGCATTTAAGAGCAGACTATAGAAACAATGTCCTGGATCTAAATCCAGGGTTTGACCCCATCTGTGCCACCAAGGACACTTGTCCAGGGCTCTGTTTCCCTTCTGTGGCAAGGAAAGACAAGTGACAGCCCCCAGCGTGGCTGTAAAGACTGAGTTAAGATTCATGATGAATTATAATGCACTTTCTAAGGATTGGCTCTCTCCTGCCACTCTCCGGTCCAGGGCTGGAAGCAGCCTCATGCACACACACACACACACACACACACACACCCCTTTTTATTCCCTGCCTGGGAAATCAGCTTGTGAACGGGGAACTGGAGAAACTGCTGGCCAGGCTGCCTCTGATCATGGGGTCCCTTTCATTGGTGGTGAAACCACTAATTCAATGGCTGACTCTGGACAGAGGCCCCAGGATGTAGGGAATCTAGGTGGCTATCTGACCCAACTCAGACACCAAAAGGGACTTCCAAGTCCCTATGCATCACAGGCAGATGGAAGAACCGAGCTGCCACTTTCTCCAGAGGGTGACTCAGCGAAGCTGTGATCTGCTTAGAGAACAGGGGAAGGTGTGGAGAGACACCCAACTGCCCACTCCTCTCCTAGGGATGGAGCCAGGACTCATTCTCTCTTCTGGGCTCCCTCTGCTCTACTCCTCTTTGAACCACTAAGCAGGAAGAGGCAGGTGCCGGGGATTAGGAGTCAGAATCCTGTAGCTTGGCTTTCTCAGCTTGTGCACAGGCTCTAATGGGCGGTGGGTCCCCATCTGCTGAGGGTGAGGGGGACTCAGCACTGGCCTGAGGCTCCCCAGCAGATGGTGCTTGGGGCTACCTTGAAACTGCCAGGCACTGGAGTGGGGTGGGAGGAGTCAGGCACAGAGCAAGAAACGGGTGGGGTGGGGAGGGACCAGACATGACTACCAGACATACGACTACCACGGGTGTCATTTTACTTGTCTGAACGCTGTCTGATACACCACCATCCGCTTCAGCATCTCCTGTGGCTGCCAGGAATGAAAAACAGTTAAAAATAGGCGTCGTCTGCCCCCTGGTGCCAGGCCCAGGGGCTGTCAGCTACAGTGCCATGCCCCTCCCCAAATAGATTTATGTTAGGCAGATGCTTGAGACCCCCAACACAGTAGCTGCCCCGAGATAAGTAGACACCACCCGCCACCAACCAGAGAACCTGAGTGGACTCAGCAGGCTGCCTCAGAGGGTGACCTTTGCCCTTTGGAAAGCTGACCATAGGACTAGAGCTCAAAATAAGTACTGGATGCCCCGCCCTGACATTTGGGTAGGGTTTCTCTGAAGGGAAGAAAAGTTCTGCCATGGCTGTGCTGCCACTGTGGGTGGGGTGCCAGTGAGAGGCTGGCACTGTCTGGGGTGCCTTTGAGCCCCAGCTCCCTCAGCTGTGGGGACTGGAGCAGGCAGACCTTCCCATGCACCCAGGACTCAGTCCTAGTGAAACGGGATCTGTGCTGGCCCTTTCCCCAATAGAGTATGTTCTCCATTGTGCCACACACCCCTTGTCATGGAGGCCAGGGCCAATGTAATCTCTGTAGGTTTGGAGATGGTGGCATGGGTAAGAGCATGCATGGCTCTGGAGTCCCAGACAAGTAACAAGTCCAGGCTCTGCCACGGACATCAACATCACCTTTCCCAAATCTGTTTCTTCAGGTGTTAACAGGGATGACAACAGGAGCCTTCTGTCTCCCTGGATGCTTCTGAGACCACACAGAGCCTGGCATGTGGCAGGCTCCCTCTAAGACTTAGCTATTAGCACTCTCGTTTTTATTGCTCTGTGTGCGTGTGTGCGTGCGTGCACACACGTGCGTGCATGCATGCATGCGTGTGTTTGGAGGCTAGAGGACAACCTTAGGTGTCCTCCTCCAGGTGACATTCACTTTATTTTTTGACACAGCATCTCTCACGGGCCTAGGACTCACCAAGCAGGTAGATTTGCTAGCTACTGAACCCCAGGGATCCTACTTCCCCTGCATGGGGATTAGTGAGCACAAGCATAACCAGCCTTTTTACATAAGGTCTGGGGAATCTAACTCAGGTCCTCATACTTGCACAGCACACACTTTACCAGCTGAGCCATCTCCTCAGCTTCAACCCTGTCCTGTTTTAGATGGAGCTCCAGGCTCTGTGGTCAGAGAACAGGAATTCTACTGGACAGGTCCACACCTGCTACAACCACATGGATTCATCCCTTGGCCAATGAGATGACAAGATGATACCTGATCCAGCCTGTATCACTCTCTCCCACCCCCACCCCCACCCTCTGCCCAGAGGGCCTTTGCTCCTCTAGAAATACTCTGGCTTACCAGGACCTCAGATTTCACAGCAGGCCTGTAGATGAAGTTGGATTCCTGGTGAACCATGACAGGTTTGGAAATGGTGGACACGCCAGGGCCTCGTGGAGGCTGTGGGCTTGGGCAAAATGTCTACAGGGTTAGTTTAAGAGAGGCCCACATGAGCTCATGATAGGTGTGGCCAGAGATGGCCATGGCACTTCAACACACATGCAAATCCACTCCGTGCACATAAACCAGCCTGGTCCAGCTGCCCTGCCAGAGGGCCTGGAGCCGGATCATCACACAAAACTCCATTGCCACAGTGTGGTTGAGTGGTTCTAAAGAATCTGCCACTTGAGCCAGAGACTGGTGGGGGGAAGGGGTCCAGCTGACGCTGTCACTCGGTAGACACACTTTCAAGTCTTAGAGGTCTTGGGGGCCACCCAGTGTCCCATTCTCTTAAAAGTCAGAGTTAAGGCCCTGTAGTGTACCTGAGGTACCTGCTGTTCCTGGTAGCTGGACACAGTGTCCAGAGGTGTTGTGGTAAAGACCAATCAGAGCAGCCTCCAGGGAAGCTGGTATACCCAGGAGCTGACAGCAACTGCCATCATCATTCTAACCCACACAATTACTGAAGAAGATGCATCTCATCTATGCACAGTCCTGCCCCATGCCCTTCAACAGGTTGCTACTGACTGCTGAACCCCCCAGCCTGGCCCCTAAGGCTCTTCAGAAGCATCTCTACTTTCCTGGCCCCCCAATCCTCTTCCTAGGCTCCTCCCATTGCCCATCTTCAACCTCTAAGACGCCAAGCTCTGCCTCCTCAGAGCCTCTGCACCTCGGCTTCACCCCAGGTCACAGCTTGGACATCACTGCCTTCCTTGGGCTTCTCTTCCCCAGCTCCGCACTTTACCTAGTCCCTGTGGGTCCCCACCTCCACCCTGTTCCCTCTAGACTGTCTCAGGCAGGGCCTGTGGCTGCCTGTACAATGGTGGGTCCCAGTGCCCAGCAGAGTGTCTGGCTTATGTGAGGTGCTGAGCAAGCGTGTATTGACTGAATAAATGAATGACTCAACAGTACGGTAGGCATGCCATACAGAGCCTGGGAGATCTGTCTGTAAGACCTTACTCTGGAAGGTGCTGGGATGACAGGTACACACAGGTGTCTGTTTTCACTGGGTACTGCATGACATGGGTGTACTAACATGCATACAATCAAAACTCTCATACACCTAACATAAAAGTAAATATATTTTTAAAAGAAGATAGTCCCTTCAAATCTCCTTGTGTGGGAACTTCTAACCTTCCCTGTGCTCTGCCCAGGAGCCAACAGTGGGACTTTCTTGATTCCTTGGAGAATCAGAAAGGGTGGCATCTGTCTTGAACCTTGACTCTGCCTCAGTGTTTACTGAGATGACCCCCAATCTACGTGTTTGATGTCATTCAAATTTACTTGGACCCTGGATTCCTAACAGCCATAAGTATTGTCTGCTGAGAACTGACCATACGCCAGTTTTTAAAGTATTAACTTAGCCAGATGTGATGGTGCACACCTTTAGTCCCAGGACTTGGGAGGCAGAGGCAGGCAGAGCTCTACAAGATCAAGGCCGGCTTGGTCTGCATAGTGAATGCCAGGTCAGCTGGGGCTAGAGGGAGACCTTGTTTCAAAAGGACCAAAAAAAAAAAAAAAAGTATTAACTTAGAATGCATTTATGTAGAGCTGCCATTGTAGCTCAGCTGGTAGAGTGCCTGCTTAACATGTACAAAGCCCTAGGTTCAATCTCCAGCACTGCATAGCCTGGGCATGGTGATGTATGCCTGTAACCCCAGCACCTGGGAGGCGGAGGCAGTAGTAGAGGTTCAAGGTCATTGTTGCCTACATAGTGAATTTAAGGCTAGCCTGGGCTACATGAGACCCTGTTTGTTTTTATATTTGTTTATTGTCTCATTCTGTAGCCCAGATTGTTCTGGAAATTACTATGTAGCCCAGGTTGACCTCAAATTCACAGTTTTCTTTTCTCAGCCTCCAGTGTGCTAAGATTACAGGTATGAGCTATCATGATGGGCTTTTAAATATATATATATTCATATACTAACTTGATTCTCATAATAGGTAGGTACCACTTGCCTTCCTATTTTACAGATCAGGATGTCCAGGCTCACAAGACGGAATAACTGGTATCCAAAGTCATCCAATCAGGGAGTGGCAGAGCAAGGCCACAGGGTCTGACTCATCGCTGTCTTTCCTGCCATCATTATGTTCCCTGTTGCTCCAATGCCCTTCCTCTGTCCCCCATATATTGTGCCCCTCAAGACTCAGCTCTTAAACCCAACAAGGCAGAAATATCCTTGGTTGGTGCACACAGGCTCTCCTAGGTTAGAGCGTTGGCTCTCCCTTCAGATGACAAAGTTCTAGAAGGCTCAGGTATGCCCCACTCCTCTGTACCCTCTGCAGCCCTGCTCTATCCCCTCCTTTACCAAGAGGTGCAAAGCAAGGGTTCAGTGCCTGACCGCAGAACCAAATCTGCTAAAGAAAACCTACTGCGTGTGTTGGGGGCAAGGGTACTTTCAGAGAAAGGCATGGCCTTCTGTGCCAGCTTAATGCAGCCCCCTAAACTGGCCAGCTGGTTGGGCTCAAGACCCTCAGCAGACGTCCACAGTTCAGTCCCTCTGTGGGCCTCCTGCAGAGAGCCACCAGCCAATCACCATTCTGCACACTCTTCATTCCAATCTTGCACCTCCCCTAAATCTCCTGAATGCCCCAGCTACTAAATCTGCTCTCTTTGGGAGCTCAAGTAGAAGCCTGTTTATCAGCCACTGGTGAGGTGATGCTGATCACCCCTAACACCTCTACCCCCAGTGAACGTGAGCCTCCTCAGCTGAGACTTGAGCGGGGGGGGGGGGGCGGGGGGCAGCTCCCTGAAGCATCAAAGCCCACATCATCCTCAGGGATCTGCTCTTCCAAAGTAGTCTTTGGATCAAGATCAAATGAGAAATATGTCTCTGAAAATATCACTGCTCAATCTCCCATCATCCAAGAAAAACATTCCTAGTCTTTTCATAGTAAATTTGGGAATTTCTAAGAATGCTCTCATCTTCCCTCTCCTTAGCTGGATGGTGGCCAGAAATGACTGATTATGGTCCCAACCAGCACAGCCAGAGCCCCAATAAAAGGTGCTGTAATGTCTGAACCCTACACTGCACAGATGTCACTTTAGTTTAAGAGCCAAGTGCCTCTCCCTGGCTTCCCCCATGTCTCCCCTTTCCAGCTAAACTGGGGGACCACTTCCCACATTCAAGACTTTTCAGGTTACTATGGAAAGGACTGGGAGTGTCACAGCTGGCTATTCACACAGCCAGGAAGCACCACTGGGGTCACAGCCCTCACTAGCCCAGAGGAGCCCAGAGAGCAGTGACATTGACCTGACAAGCTTCTGCTCACTCCAAGATCACAGCAATTCACCATGCAACAGGAGTTCAAAACCAGCAGAGAGCACACCCATGCCAGACAGCACACCACACCTGGAAAATGATGGGCGATGGTGTTTCCTCCTGTCTCCACTAACTGGGGGGGGGGGGAGGAAACAGCACCTGCACCCCATGTTCTGATTACAGGCGCAGCACGTGGAATAAGGTGGTACCTTTGGAGTTGCCAGGAAGCTCCGCTCTGGGGCAGGGGAGCTGGTGGGCTTCCCACTGTGGGTCTTTGCCTCCCAGTCCTCTGCTGGATGGCCAGAGTCCCCAGCACGGAAGGGGTGGTTACCCAAGGCCTCTTCCAGCGCCGAGGGCAGTGGGCGGGTAGGAGTGAGGTCTTGGGTGGGAATGGATGGAGGGGGAGGGATGGGAATGGGGGGTGGAGTGCGTTGCACCCAAGGTGAGGACGAGGCGCTCACGTGGCCTGATGAGGGAAGCACAGGGGGTGCAGGGATCTTGGAAGGTGGGTTGGTGGGTGGGGGGTGGGGCATCACAGGCAAAGCAGAAGGTGTCTTAGGGGGATAGTAGAACATGTCCAGGGGGATGTCATCCAGGTCGGTGGTGTGGAGGTGTAGCCCACCCGCGAAGCGTCTCAAGGGTGGGGCCAGGGGAGACACAGAAGGTGGGGGAGGCGGGGGACCTGTGGTCATCTGGGGGTTGAAGAAGTTCTATCATTGTCCAGTCCACAATGCACTGGCAACAACACTCTCCTAATCTGTTTCTCTTGCAGTTGGAGCCCACCACCCTCAAACCAGAACCATGGGGGCCACTGTCTGCCACCTGGCTTCCCAGCTGAGCCAATAGGCTGATAGGGAGTAGTCCCAACAGCCTATTAACATAGGAGACGCTAGAGCAATGTCACCTGGGGTCCTGGGGGTCCTAAGGCAGTTTATCCATAAACAGGGACACTTGAGGATCTCAGAGGTACCCTCAGTCATTAACTGCAGGAAGGCAGGCCCAGTGGGGACCATCTCAAGACAGCCAAGACTTGTGGTCACTCTGGAGATAACCCCAGAAATACAGACTCATCTCCCCTCCACAAGAGGAAAGGATGGGAGCTTGCAGGGCTGGACTGGTCACCAGTGTGACAGTGATGCTCACCAGTGGCCAACACACACACACACACACACACACACACACACACACACACACAC